ATGTTGAGCAAGTCATCAGAGAAGCTGGAATATATGAAGAAGACTGTGGCATCAGTATATGAGAAAGGCTTACTAACAACGTGCTACAGGCAGATGACACTATCTTTCTTGCTAACTGAAGAGGACTTGAAGCGCTTGCTGATGAAGATCAAGGACTGTAGACTTCAGTATGGATTACAATTCATGTAAAGAAGACCAAAATCCTCACTACTGGACCAATGGGGAACATTATGGAGGACAAGTTGAAGTTGTCAAGGATTTTGTCTTTTTTGAATCTGAAATCAGTGCTCATGGAATCAGTAGTCAAGAGCTCAAAGGGTTGGGTAAATCTGCTGCACAAGACTTCTTTAGACTGTTGAGAAGTAAAGATGTTACTTTAATGTAAAAGGTGTACCTGACTCAAGTTATGGCATTTTCCATTGCCTCATAAGCATGTGAAAGTTGGATATCGAATAAAGAAGACCAAAGAAGAATCAACAACTTTGAATCTCGGTGCTGGCAAACAATATCGAAAGTACCATGGACTGCTTGCTGAAAGGACAAAAAAACTCTGCCTTGGAAGAAGTAAAGCTAGAATATCATTTGGAGGCAAGGAAGGATGTTGAGACTTCATCTCACATACTTTGGATGTGTTATCAGTGCCTGGAGAAGGACATTGTGCTAGTTAGGTTTATTGTGCCTACTAGGCCTCCATAGGAACATGTGGGTGGAGTTTAATCAGGTCATAGTTTGGAGAGCAACTGAAATAAATATTTTCTGAGGCCAGCATCCCTTCTCTCTTCCTCCCTGGTGATCAGACCAGCATGCTGCTGCTTGAGCTAGTTCTTTGCCTCACCCACGTGCTGAACTACCTGTGGGCTGAGCCAACCCTTGCATTGTGTCGCTAGAGCTTGTGGCTTCTTCAAGACCAGCTTCGACATGCTGCTGGTGTGTCCATCACGTGAGCTTGAGGCTGGTGGATCCTGTCATCATGCATTGCTTGAGTTCAAGATCCCATCAGGGCCTGCTTTGATAAGCTCCCCGTGCTGTTGACTGTTGCTATCCCACCCTGCCTGTCTTGCCCCAGGGCAGACTCTGCTTTCTGCTTCCTTGACCTTGGACCAGCAGCCCAAGTGAGTTGAAGGACCTTTATTCAGTATATTAACTCTTCCATGAAAGTGAGTTGAATGGAGCCCTCTGTACTTCTGTGTGGACTAATTCACCGTTACATTCCTTCTTGCTGTATAAATGTATCCTTTTATATATATAATCCTGGTTTTGTTTCTGTAGACGACCCTGTCTAATACATAAATCATGCTTAATAAAGTAGAGGGCATCAAAAAAGAGGAAGCCCCTCACAAGATGGATGGACACAGTAGCTGCAACAATAGGTTCAAGCGCATGGGCAATTTTGAGGATGGTGCATGATCTGGCAGTGTTTCATTTTGTTGTGTATAGGGTAGCTATGGGTTAGAACCAGCTCAATGGTACCTTGGTAAACAACAACAACAACACAACAACAAACACACTGACAGTGGAGGCAGTGAGATGTGTTTCACAAATATATGAAATGCCTTGCTTGGGTCTTTTTTAGTAACAAAGAAAGAGAGCTATTAACTTTTTTTTTTAACAAAAAAATATATAACCCTTTGAGTCTATCTCTGGTCATCTTCCAACAGATACCCAGTCTCACGTGTAAGTGGAACATTTTTTACCTCTACATACATATTTTATGGAGTAGAAATGAATTAAATATTTTGAAGGGTAAATGATAATTTCAGTAAAAGTTTTGACTCTTCTTGGTACAGCTTAAAAAAAATCAATCTGAAATTTATTAACTGCTAGGTTAACATCACCTGCCACTTGCAAAATTTTATTTTTATGTAACTGGTCATTGAGCTACCCCAAAATAGTAGCTGATGCAGGACACTCTAGTCTTATTGCACTATCCCAGATAGAGTTAAAGGCTCCGTTCATTGTAAGCTTGATTTGTGTCTGTTATTGTTCTTTCAAAATTGTACTGTGATTCTCCAGTCACTATCTGAGGGGACCTACAAAAATGGAGCTCAAAGATAATGGAAGTTTTCACGATGTTTTTTAAAGCTCCCTGTATGTTCCGGAGAGTTATATTGTTGCTGTTGTTGCGAGTGGTGGTGTTTTCGGTGTCCTTGAGCCAATTCTGACTTGGGGTGCCCCCGTGTGTGTATAGTAGAATTGCCCCCATATGATTGTCATGGCTGTGACCTTTCAGAAACAGCCTATCGGGCCTGTCTTCTGACAACTTGAACCCCCCTAGGCTTGGAAGGATCATATTTTACCCATTTTTATGTGCCCAGAAGCAACTGTAAAATCAAATAAGGATATGAATTGTTCCATTCAGAGGTGGCTGGGGCTGATCCCTGTGTGACTATTGAACTCCGTGATTACTTATTGAATGAGTGAGTGAATGACAACAAATACAAGAGGATCTCTGAGCAGAGAAGACCGGAATTTGGATTATACGGTTCACCTTTTGCAGAGGTGCCCTGGTGGAGTCGTAGTTAGGTGTTGGCAGCTACCCGCAAGGTCAGCAGTTGAAACCACCAGCCA